GGTAAGGACACAGGTGTCATTAAGTCGACGAAAGGTCAAATACATTCTGATGGTCAAATCGCCGTGGATGTTATTGCACGGATCAATTCAAACAATCGGATATTCAAATGACAAGGCACCGATTATCTGGCCAAGGGTCGGATAGCCAGTGCTGCTGAATGGTCAGTGATACTGTGTGCAGCAGGTAATTGATTACTTTATGCTGAAATAATAGATTTCCAGTCTTTGAACACCAATGCTTGCAGCTCTAGTTTGTTTGGTAATGAAACTTCTGGTGCTGCACCGGGCTGTCCTTTGCATGCCCACCGAGTGTATGCATCGGTTACAGTTAATGAGACAAAGTGAATGAGACCTGTGAGTAGTTAGTAAATTTGTTCCATATAAGTGCAGTCATTTCAAAACTCTTTAGCACAAACAGTTTACAAATATTTATCTGGTTCCACCGTGTCGGCTTGTAAAGGATAGTACAATGATCTTTTAAAACATCCTATCATGCAACACAGACGCGTGTCCCTTTTCATCAGAACAAAACAGTACATTGCACTTCATTGTGCCACACGTGTCCTCCCAGCTAACCAAATCTGAACAGCTTCCTATTTCTCGCATCCATTTTTGATCGTTGATTGTAGTAACATAATTATGTATACGTCAGCATGCATCGCGCGTAGAAACAAAATAGGATAGAGATTGGCTGATAGTCCGGCTTGGATTGGAGCGCGCCAATCAATTACATGATGGACCACTACGAGCACAATGTAATAGAAAAATCGGTGATAACTTCGAATTTTGAACTTCGACTCTGTCACCGAACCAAAAATGCACAGTTGACGATTCAGTTGCTCCTTTGTCTCGCAACGCCTCCGCATTAGCATCACCGATAGGTTGCATCTCCGCGGAAATAACAAAAGAACGTGTGGGTCCACCACTATGTGATCCGAGAATCATAGTACATTAGATAAACTAGAACTAAAAACATCAGACAAGCGGCGGTATGAAAGTCCATTAAATAATCCAATACGCCAAAGTGACAAATGCTTGCGACCGTTCCGATCGGTAAGTATTGTTAAGTGAATATGTAACCGTTAAATTGAAAGTCAGCTTACATAAGGGATAAAGTAGCGGTTTGGACAATTACGTGTACGGTGACAGTTATATGGAAAAAATTGAATGCATCTACGCTAATGGATTCGAGTGTACTGTTTGTTTGAGAAATCATGACGCCTCTATACAGCAAGATGACGTGTATCAACTAAGTGAAGTCCTCAAGCACATTTCCTTATGCCCACAGTTTTACCCAACTACAGGCGCTAACTGTAAACATTGAACGCCGAGGGGGACGATCAGAGAGTATACAAATAGTATGACCTAACCAATATAAGCAACTCGGGATGAACGGAGATTAAAGTGACAACGCGGAGCCTACATTCAAACACGAACTAATGGGCTCCACCAGATGTGGCCAATGCTATGTAAGTAGCGATGATAAAAGGTGACTAGTTCCGCTGGAAAGAGGAGAAACTCCTGATTCACATGGTAACAGTGGTCCCTCTGGAGCGCTTTAATCACTGCGACTTGATGATATCCCAACTGACTGATATGGGTCACATCTAAATAGACTAGTGAATGGCTCGACAAAATAGTGCCAGTACGGTGACAAATGGAATTAGCAGTGTCCAAAATCAGCTCTGCGATAATGAAATTGCGATGAAAATGTAGAAACGCGCTTAAGAAAAGGACAAGTTCAATCCCAGGATAACTTTACGGTAGCAAGAATGAACAATGTTTAGCAAGATAAATCGAATTCTGTTAAGTTCGTGTATTCTCGGTCAGTCGCTCACTTACACGCAGTGCTTAGATTAAACGGACGCCGGTGACAACGCACCGAAGAGAAGAATCAGTTGGTAGCCGTAACGATTAAAGTCATCACTCGGAATGACTAAATCTACAGCTGAAATTGCCAAGGTTAGGTTGGCCAAGAGGTCAAGCTGTTTTCAAAAGTTGGGTTTCAGTCACCAGATGGCGTAAGCCTCGGAAAAACAGAACGCTTGGATCATGCCTTGATGAGCGTGTCTCGCATCGCCGAGAATATTTATTTGTTTCGCTTACTGATGATCCCGGATGATTCGCGATGGTCTTCCCACTTTGCAATCGCGCAGATGTTTAGTGATCGAAATGGTGAGCGCTTAGGCTCGTGGAATGCGATCCATGATTTTGGTCAACAACTTTCTCTAAGTACGATCAGTGTCCACGCTACCGCAAATATGGTTAGATTGGCGAATTCATGAGGCAGTAACAAGCGGGAAGTCTGTTTAAGTTGGATTCATGAAGCAACTTTTTGTAAGAAAATTCTAAATAAGTGCATTCTAGCAGAACTGCATCATCATCAACACAAGATAGAAAAGGGTGTGAAACATCTTTCAGCTAATGTGCCACAATACAAAAAGATAAGATACAAGACAGTATATAGCATAAAAACTTCAAAAAGCAGGAAATATAATGCTAAATACCATATTTTGCATTTCGGATGAGACCGGAATTGGAGGGGGAGTTTAGAAGAGAGGGGATGAACAAAAAACAACACGAATGCCACTGGGGCCGGCTCCTAGCCAGGCTGGCAGTTGGAGACACCAATTGACGCCAATTACGAAGTGAGAGTTTTCATTTCTCTCGACCAAGTCATCGTTTGGCCTCCTCTCCCGATCTTACATCCACACCACGGGCGCGCAAACAACGCATGACGCGGGTGTCGGTGGGCTGGCATGCGCAACACGTGGCCCAGCCTTCAGAGCCTGGTGCTGAGCGGTTCACTTGCTCTTCCTGCATGAAATACACCATGCCGAACACGCACTTTGCTCACGCGGTGTTCCCCCCAGACATCAGCTAGGATGCGAAAGCAGTGGTGGTCGAATTTAGCTAGTCTATTTAAGTCTGTCGAGCTGAGGGACCACGTATCACAACGATATAGGAAGGTTAAACGGGTGGCTCCATTGCAAACTCTGTCCTTCAGAGCGAGAGAGAAGTCATGTTGACGCCACAGGTGCGGAGATTGATAAAAGCATCTCGAGCTTTCTTATACAGTACGTGACCTACTGATCGATCCCACGGGCACTAATGTAGCTGCCCAGGTGCTTGAATTCTGGAACGACTCCTAGCTAAACACCACCGACGTTCAGCACAGGGGTGGGTCCCTGCGAATTCTGGAGAACTGCATCAGTGCACAGCAAATAAAAGTCTGTCACAAAATAGGATCTTCACTCTGCAGCATTCTGAGGCGTCAGCAGTACGCCAGTACGAAGTACTTATGCTTGGCAGCCGCGCAACGACCAACAATCGCCCGTGGGCTAAGGAAACTGCGAGGGTCGCCCGGTCGCTACGCAGGCCTGAACCCGCGCTCTTGCATTGCAAGACAGGCGTGATCCTTAAGGCTAAAGGCCGAAATTCTGAGAATAGAGTGTTACTGATGCTCATTCTGAAAAAAAGTGAGGAAGAAAGGGGATATTACACAGTCACGAAACACTCCAGCTGCAGTCGGGGAAACCAGATGACAGTTTGTTATCGGTCCACCTTAAGAATCATCAACCACAATATAGATATCTCCGGTTAGAAACGTTTCCTTGATACACGCATTAACAAATATTACACACTGGAACGATTAACTGAGTCGTAGACGGTTTTCCAGTTAAAATCAGAACATGGTGACTCGTTTATATGTATTTTGCGGTTTCAACACTTGGGATATAAACACATGATTAATACACCTTAAATCGAAGCAAGAAAAATGTCGCTTTCACTAAATTGATTCTGATGAGGTCCAGTTAGTCAACGAAGTGTAATTTATGTGAGATATTTGAAGGCAAAATCCATAAAGTAAGTGCCTGACTTCTTATCCCTTTGTTTCGTTTCCAATGAGTGAGCTCATGACGAATATCTTCCAAAGGGCATATGTAACCAATGTCTCATACACGTCTAGGTTGCTCAACAACGCAGTATACCCGCTGAAGGGCTAGAATGCGCCGTCCAACGATAAGGTTTGCGTTATTCGCAGCCAAGATCGAGTCAGTGACGGCTTTCTTAGCGTTTGCTACAGACGAGGTTAAACAGTGCTCGCAAGGAATCTGTCTTAGTCAATCGTTCAACTTTATAGTTCGGTTCGTCGGAAGTTGATCGTTTGTGTTATTAAGGTTGCATTCCGGTGACGATTGGGAGGCCGGAGTTAAGAGCATGAATGAGATAGAGCATGGCTGGTCACAGGATGCAAAAGTGGGAAAACAACGTGCAAACACGAGAAACTGTGGTGCTTGGAAGTGCACATGAAATCCCTGTTTGATGAACCAGAATCACTAAAAGACCATTCGATTTGCCATTCCCAGCAGACGACCAACCATGAAGATGGATAACCAGAAAAATATTGAATACTGAAAGCGGGTTGCTAGAAAAGATCCACGTTGATCAATCGATATAATATAAGGTATGCAAGTGCTCCACCAACATAATTTGGCTGTGAAACATCCTATTCAGGTGTGATGCGCTCTTGAAAGCTGTAATTCGCAAAGTGGGCGTCTAGGAATTTCTTGAATTTCGACTGATTTCGCCACGGCTTTTGTCTCGGGTAAACCGTTCTAACACTTCGCCACCCAACGCTCTAAGCATATAGGGTGAGTTATCCGCTTCAAGTCTGGTATAACAAGCATGTACCGGTGCTCGCGAGTGCCGCTTGGTGCACATACTTGCAAAAGCGGCCTCAGTATATGGAATCCACCCAAATGTAACACATTGTGGGTCATTATGAGGTCCACCGGAGAGTAGTAATCTGCACAACATGACCAAGGGGACTAGGGCAGAACCCATGCCAACAGCAGCCAACCGTGCCTGGTGCCCGTTGGTGATATGCAAGTAATTTGAATGTATGCAGTTAGTGACAGCGGCGCGGATATATGTAAAGAGCAACATATGAAGATGCAGAGTGAAGCAAGGTAAAACAGATTCGAAGCTCACTTTACCGTGGGTTGGATCGTAAAAGCGCAGCAGTAAATGCATGACTGTGGACTTGCCGCAGCCACTGGGACCGACGAAGGCGACGGTTTGGTCACGCTCTATACTCAAATTCAGTTTTCTGAGGACCTAAAAAGTGAAGGAAGGTACAATGCGACAACATTTCGTGAAAACGCTATAGTATGATATCCAGATAGATCGTCCGCGTTAAACTACACCATGAGTAAAATGAGGGGGGGGGGTCGGGTGCTCTCGAAGTGGGATGTCCACGCGGGAGAACTCTCATCGATAAAAACAGATCGAAAGTGTCAACGCAGTTAAGCGATAACACCTTCAGGTGGAGGAAAGCAACTTTTAGTCCCATCTGAGCAAGGCATTAGCGATACGCAAGGATTCCAGAGTACTAAAGAATGGAGGGATTGTCGGTCATAGCAAATACTGTTCAGTTGCACAGAATCCAAAAGCCGTGCTGAGAAGTCATGTAGATGCACCAGATGTATTAAGTTTCCTCGATAACGCCTGAAACAGTCATTTAGAATGAAGAAAGCATGCCGTATCCTCTGTGTCATTGCTCACTACAAAAATTTAGGCGGTTCATGCTCGGTATATGATGCGTATCATGGACTGGCGGCATCTGTGTCCGGATTTGCCTGTCACTGTGACCTGCACGGGGACAGCCACAGGATGCTTGCGCATACAGGGGGACCACGAGTGGTTTGCGCTGCACCACCCACAGCTCCACCCACACACCATATATCCGGTGAGAAACGAGGGAATAAGACAGTGAGGATGGGAGTCACGTAACGTCAACAGAGCCGGCCCACACTCCTTCAGCAAGCAGAACAGAAGCATTCCTGCCTAATTAGAAAAGCATGCGTACCAGACCTACACGAGGCAGTGGCTGGGTCGTAGCCCGTTCCACACCGGATGCATGGAACCACTCTGAGCCTAGCACGGTCATGAGGACAGTGCACCCCGTCCCCTCGAGCAACGACCAACAGTCTCCTGGAGCCAGTATGGACGAGGTAGTGGGTAATAGACAGGTAGACATCTTGTAAACATGCACATCAAGCGCAGCCACACCGGGGATATCAAACAGCCAAGATAGAATCTGAAGGAATATGCATACGCAATATTTCACATGGATGGAATATGCAAAAGAGTAACAGAACTGAGGAAATCAAACAAAGTGGATTACTTCTAATCTAAATTTGGAAAGTCTAGTTTCAGGGTTAGTCTTGGCATGTCAGCTTATTTGGATTAACTTGACAAGTTAGCAATGGTAACATAGGTCACGAAGAGTACAAAAGTGTAGTGTGCAATACGCGGAATGGTTGGAAACACAACCGAGTTAAATAAGAGGTGCAATACAGATACTGCATGACACCAAGTCAGTAAAGAGGACTCCGCAGTGAAACTATACCAAAGCGATCAGTAGATTCGATAGAATACCAATGGGGTGCGTGGGTGGTAAGTGGTACACAGCGCAAGTATCGACTAGTCTGTTCCATTTAGTTCGTGAGCATCGACAAGTGTGTTCTGTGTCGTTTGGGGTACAAGTTTATGAGGGGTGGACATGGTTCAAACCGACTACGACAATCGCAGTGACTAGGCGTTATAGGAAAGTGGCGATGGAAGTCCTTTTCGAACTGTTGCAGATGTATACTAAATAGTGTATTGTGGGAGCAAGTAGAAATTTGAATCTGTACAACTCCATCGAAACAGCATCAGAAACGTTAAAAAATTACCTATGACTTGTCAAGCAATACTCTTATCGTTTTTCACGTTTACATGTAATATCCTAAAGTTACATGTAACTCACAGTAAAATGGGGCACAAAAGGGTGAGATATCTGGGGGTGCTTGCACTCGGAAGCTAACATTTGAGAAATGTGCGTCGAATGATCGTTTGAATTTCAGCACTGTGTTTGCTTCCACTATATGGTCCGGCAAACTGTTCGAAGCATTTACAACTGCCAGTTCAAAGAATGGGGAGGACGTTTCAGACTTGGAACCACAATTTTGTACTGGTGTCCGCATGTACTGTTAGGTGTTCGCAAGCGGAACAGTGGCCTCCGCATGGGAAAGTCAGCTAGATATATAATGCAGTAGGTAATGATGATGTCAACTCGTAGCCGACGATAGCCCAGGGTGTACAGTCCATCCACTCGCACTCGTCCTCTTATGGTAAGGGTCACAAACTGGGAAAGAGCCTGGTAACGATGTGCTGAACGCGTTTACACTTCTGCGCTTCGCCTCGAGTGGTCCAGCTATAATTGATTTTATAACAGTAACTCAAATTGATGTATGCACTAAAAGACAAACGTCAGTTCTTCCATCCAGACAGGTTCTGCTGGAAGTTTACAATCGATTGACAATATCGCAAGCAGCATCACGGAATTCTTGTACGATCTCGGTGATCTGACCTTCGACCTTTGGCATAAGCAGCACGAGGACTTTCTCACCGTTGACCTAACCTGTCAGGAAGACGCGTGGAAGGTCCGGCTGCTTCTGCGTAACGTGGGCACCACATAACCTCAGCGGTAACGCGATTTCATTCTGCATAGAAACCCAAAGGACGTTACTTTTGGCGAGACCGTCCAGACGTTTCTATCCAATACCTTTTCAATACCAATTGAAAAGCATGAGTCCAACGACTTCAACACGTATACAGGCATCGTCAACCGAGAATGCGGGTGCTTTCAATTTCGATCCCTAAGGGAGGACCAGTTCAAATGACTGGTCTTCAGCCCTGGTCTGCAGTGCGCACAAGTTGGCGATATCTGGAAGTGCATTCTGTCCAAGCTACAACAAGACAGCCCTGTCAGACTCCAGAAGCTAGGCGAAGAGCGTCAAGTGCTGCTGAGTCTGAAACGCGATTTTGTTATGATTCAGAATGCCTATGTAACCGGTCTGGTCCAGTCACTCACCGAACCCAACCCAAAAGAACGAAGTCCCCACCCTATTCGTGCCGATTTTACGGTGCTCTCACCGACACTGTAGCTTCAACCAGCCCCAAAGCCAGCGATGTAGCAGGGTTGAGCACCGGGATGGTTTCTGCACCTCAACAGCACCTAAAGGGATCAAAATTGGAGTGGCCTTCACCCGCTGCCCAAAGAAGAGGTACCGATCCCGATGAAAACCAGGTTGGCAGATATATGAGCCTGCTGGCCACCTTCCAAGTCAACGCGGCGGATCGCAGGAAGTAAGTTGACGTCTCGATCAACGGTAAACCCCTCCGATTGAAGTCAGACACTGCCTGGGATTTCACGCTTACGTCCGAGGATCTCTGGCAGTCCCTTGGCGTACCATAAATTGAGTCAAACTATCAATCCGCCGCCGTCGTCTGTGTTGGTCACGCACAGCTAACTGGAAAGCTACATTGCTCTGTCTCCTTCCGAGGCACCACATGCAACTGGACATATTACATCACGAAGATCAAGCTCAATTTAGTTAGGCTCGATTGTCTCGAACACCTTGGTATGGCCGATCCGCCTCTGCGAGCCATCTGCAGCGCCATGCATTCTCCGACAATACCAATTGACCCAACCGATATTATCAGACAGTTCGTCCGTGTTCCATGATGGTCTTAGACGTCGTACACGCAAACGCCCCGTGTTACAGCTCTCACCCGAGGCTCAACTTGTATTCCGTCCAAAAAGACCTATGCCATAGGCAGCCTTACTGTTAGTAGACGCCGCACGCAAACGACTGGAAGACACGAATGTCTTATTACCCGTGCGCCACTCTATCTGGGCAGCCAGCATTATTGTGGCCAGGAAACCAAAGGAACCCCTTCGCAGTGGCGTCGATTTCTCCATTGGCCTCAATGCTGCGCTACAGTCGAACTGCTAGTCATTACCAGCTCCAGCCGACCTCTTCACTATGTTTAATGGTGGCGCGTGCTTGGCCAAGATCGACTTGGCAGACGCCTGCCTACAAATCGAAGTTACTCCAGAGTCGCAACTGTTCCTGACGATAAACATACACCTCGGTCTCTTCCAGTACACCAGACTGCCCCAGCTTTACTCCAGCAAACAATTGATGCGATGATCTCTGGCATTTCGGATACGGCCGAGTACCTGGACGATCTCCTCACCATTGGTCGCACTCCAGTAGAACCGCGTGTGCGCACGGTCTCTGTTTTCCAACGTATCCAGGATTATGGCTTCCGCCTGAGTTGAAATTCCAGTTTTTCCTTCGGTCGATCGGATATCTCGGGTTCATCTCCGATGCTAATGACCGTTATTCTGATCCCGAAAACGTCCGAGCCATTCACCAGATGCCGTCTCCCAAAGAAATGCACCAGCTGCGAACCTTCTTTGGTCTCATCAGCTACTAGTGCGTCTTGCTACCATCGCTACCCGATGTACGAGCCCCGCTTAATCGTCTGCTGCAAAAGGAGGTTCCTCAGCCTTAGTCTTCCGCATGCTTTAGTCTGCATACATGCTGATCTCTGACTTACTACTGATACACGATGACCCGACCTTACTAATTATAGTCACCGCTGATGGCTCCAACGACGGAATCGGAGCAGTCCTCTCCCAATGATCCCTAGATGGTTCCGATAAAACTGTCTTTCACCCATCACACACGCTGACGTCAGCGGAAAAGAACTACAGTCAGATCAAGAAAAAGGCCCTGGTCATCGTTTATGCTATTAAGAAGTTAGACAGGATGCTGTATGGTCGGCATTTCACTTTACTGACTGATCGCCAGCCGTTGTTGTCAAGCTTTGGTTCTAAGAAGCGCATTCAGGCATATTCAGCCAGCTCACTCTAACGATGGGCCGTCAATCATCTTGTTTACGATTTAAAATCCGCTTCCGCAGCACCCAGGAGTTTGGTCAAACTGACGTTCTCTCCTGCCCGATCAATAGGCACGCCATTGTTACCGTCGAGAAGATTCGTGGTCAGCTCGAACACTATCTGCAGACTTCCAGGTACTACGGCCAACATACGTTGTGCAACGGCAATTGACCCTGTCTTCCATCACGCCATCAGCTACGTGCAGACGCGTTGGCAAACCACTGCCCGTCGGAAGCTGACTCGGCTTCGTGACTGTCTATGTGGTCGATTCCTGCCGTATGACCGCTGACAGAGTCGTGGTACCAGCATGCCTTCGTCAAGCCGTGTTCTGCCAGTTTCATTCTGCGCGCCCTGGTACTAGTCGAATGAAAGCACTCACTTGCGGCTACGTTTACTAACTCGGTATCGATATTGACATTGAAGATTTGGTATAACCGTTGATCCCGATATCAACAAGCAGCCAAGGTGGGAATGCGCGAGCCACCACCTACCTGACAACCAAGGAGGAAGCCTTGGTTCCGCGTTCAAATAGACTACACCAGTCCGATCAACGGTATCTTCTACCTAGTCCTAGTCGACGTTTTTTCCAAGTTGCCTGAAGTCGTGGGCATCAATCCCCCGAACACAATGGCAACAATAATTTGTCTCCAGTGAATCGTTAGCCAACACAGACTTAATGCTGTTTTGGCGTTCGATAACGGGTATCGGTTCCGTCTTCGCAATTGGAAGAGTTCTGCCACTGTTATTGCATCCAACACCCCTGATTAACTTCGTCAAAAAGCTCATTGCGATTGGTTTCCAGGTCAGGGAGTTTAGATCCAAAAGACTGACGGCTGCTTTAACTTTTTCCCAGGGTGGTAATTGTTTCATCGCCACCCAAATGAAGCCACTCAGTTCTTGAAATTTGCTCATTCTTTCCTGTATATGACGCAATTGTTGCAGAAATTGGTGATATTATTTATCGCATCTGTTTTTCTGATGAGACCCACTTGTTCGAGTCGGCCAGTTAAGATCTTTAACTGGTTCGGAACAAAGCTGTTTCTGCTCCCGTCCCTGTACTCCAGCAAGATTCCGTACATTGCAGATGAGACTTCCAGTGTTGAAGTATTTCGTCCCTCAATTGGGAGCAAGAAGAAAGTGTGTTAAACTAATCAGAATAGAACCAAAATAAACGATCAGATGCAAGAAAGCGAATGCAGAAACGCCACCGACAACGTGACTGCGCCATGTCAAATACGATTTATAAACACTGGTGTGGGCCATCCTGGGGCACCCCATCAGCCTAACCAAGTCCCTCAGTTAATTTCTTCATTCCACTATGCCGCGTCATGGACTGGGCACTTCGCGGATTCACACAACCTGGTGCAGCCACGGCGTATAATGCAGGCCGAGCAGACCTGTCCGGGAGAAAGTAAGAATAACCTGAAAATTTCACTATTTCAGCGACTAATCGATTATTAACCATTATCGCATCAATTTCGTCTGAATGTTCTAAATGCTGCACGTGACTACAAACCACCTGACATCTCGGCCAAAGCTATGGGGAACCACTAATCTTGAACGTTGACCTTCCAATTCTAAAAATCTAACGTCACTAAGAGACCTATAAATACAGCTAAGGTCCGCAATAGTTGTACAGTGTTTTTTGACGGTGGTTGATACGTTATTTTGTCAAGGTCATTGTTGTTCTGCTTTTCCCTTCCGTTGGGCTAGAAGTTTTGTGGAGCAGTAAAGTGCCAATTCCGGAATCGCTTCTAGAAAGAAGACTTTAACAAAGGCGGTCAACGGGCATACGTAGGACATAGCCTAGCTAACGTAAGCGATTAAGATTCATCAAACACTCTAGTGAGGTACCAAAGACTTCTAGCTAAAAACCAACTACCCGTCCTCAGCATTGCTCATCCGGTGTTCCTACCAGACGTGAGCAGTACTCTGCAAGCACCGGTGGTCAAACAGGGCCAAGCGTATTATGTCTTCGCCACGAACTGGCCAGGTCTCTGATCTACACAGTAAGACCAGCCTTACCGCAGCATTATACATCCTATCTTTCACTGATAGGATGAGATCCCGCCGTCTCCATAGATGGCTGGAAAGCCACACGGGCCTTACTGATACGGTTATCTCCTCAGTGATGTGACCACCAGAGGTGATATAGCTACCCAAGGTAAGTGATCCGATCCACCACTTCTAGTAGTTGTTCGATAATAGCTAGAACCGGAGCTGTGTCGGTACGGTCCTGAAGCAGTAAATTGCACTTTGAAGGTGCAAAGCACATGCCGAAGGGTGCGGCGCGATGCGTCAGTCTATCTAGTAGTGTTTGCATAGCCACTATGTCGGACCCAAAAAGAACTATGTCGTCCGCATTTTCCAGGTTTGTCAGTTGATCACTTGGTAGAACTTTCACTCCGGTAAAGTCTGAAAGAACGGCCAATTATGATCATTTCGACAACGAAGTTAAAGATGACAACCCTGTCGAACCCCACTTGTTGTGGGAAACTCAGGAGACAGTTTCCAGCAAACTCTTACACGACCTCGGGGGTCATGGTAAAAAGACTCAAGAATAGAGTCGAAGGCAGCATTCAAGTCAAGGAAAACTATTGTCGGTCGTCTGTATGTGCATCTCTGCTACAACACTTGGCAAAGAGTAAACATGCGACCGATACAACCACGACCAAGACGGAAGCCAGCCTGGCTTTCACTGATACGGTTCTCTCGTGGACCAGAGGGTCGTCGGAGAATGATACCCATGATGAGTTTGGATGCAATGGAAATAAGGCTGATGACTCGATGATTTTCGCACAAAGTACGACGACCCTACTTGAAGATGGGCACGACAGTTGACAATCACCAGTCTGAAGGAGCCTCTTCAGTGTTCCAAATAGTGTTAAAGTAACGAGTCTAGTCAATAAAGATCCACCACCATTTTTCAGCAAAGATGGATGAAGTTCGTCGGATCCAGGAGCCTTGTTTCGTTTCAACGCGGAAAGCTCATGTCGAATGGTTTCCAAAGGGAGAGGTGTCACATCTGCTTCTCATAACGGCTCAGGCGAGTCGGCAAGTGGCAATGTCGACGCAGGTCTGATGAACTGTTCCTCAAAGTCTTCCGCATAACGGCATAGTCGATGACGTTGACGGTGGATCAGCTGCTTCTTTTTCTTAGCAATTGTTTCGCTAATGCATGGCTTTCTCGGACCCGTGTTCCAGATGAGCTGGAACAGAACTCGGCTGTTCCCAAAAGTACTGGCTTTCTCCACCTCACAGGCCCTTGCGATCCACAACGTTCCCGGTCGATTCGAAGACTCCTTGCGATGCGTAGTTTCACTGCCCATTGGAACTTGTTTCAGTTTCGATCAAACTGATCGACGACTCAGAAATCCATTGGCTGTTATGACGTCTCAAGTTGGGTGCACAGCATGCGTCAGACATTCTTCGTGGCATACTGGAGACGATTTCAGCCAGCGTTCGGCTCACCAACCTCATTCATCACTGACAAAAGGTGGACCATTTCGTCGTGATATTGCTGAGCTGCAGATGGTGAGTTCAAGTTACAGGTAAGAAGGTTAGGTTTTAAGGAAACAAGAAAACCAAATGGTGGAGTATATTGAACTATGAAACAGACGTACCACGTTGCTCGGTCGGCTGCTGTAAGAAAAAGTAACGTCCTGGAACTGTATTGTGCGGAAGAAATCATTCGGCCTGAGGCCACCGCGGCGACTGTCGATTGGCGGCTCCTGAAAGCAGAGATCTTCATGTAGTGTGAAAGCACCGATGACCAAACGAGCGCAAATAACAGGCAACGAATAGAGAGAGAAAAGGATGACGCAGAGATAGGTTAAAGGGGACTTACACAAGGAAAGAAGACGAATACGTTAAGAATTATGAATAAATGTGACGCAGTATGACGGCTGCAAAGTAACAACACCAATAGCGTAAAGTCAACCGAGATGAGAGCTTTGTAAATAGCTCCTTGCTCGCTCACTAATGAAGTATGTTTTGGGATCGTGGTCGAAAAGACAAGCCGACTGCTTTGGAATCCGGAGGTCGCAGGTTCGAGCCTGCATAAGGGGACGGGTGACCCTCGCAGTATCCTTAGGCTACTCACGACTAGTAGTGGTTGCATAGCACCGAATCATCGGCAAGACGTACCGGCGTACTGCTTGCGCCTTTCTTTTCTTTTTGTGTTCTAGGCACGTCGAAAAGCGATAAAACTTAGCAAGAGAAACAGAGCATGAGAGGATCGAGACCGAACGCCAATGTAAAATCACTTACTCTTTCGATGACACGAAACAACCTTTCCGCAGATGCTTTGGCGGCATAGAAGTATCGGACATTGGGCAAGGCACCTCCGAGAAAAAGGCTTCCGATGATAAGGTTGAGAAAAACCTAAATGTTAACATCAGACATAGCTCAGTTAGGTGTAAGCATGGGCAGAGATAAGAACCATCATCATACAATGAAATTTAAGATAGCAATTCATGACATTTAGCTAGTAACAGATGAAAATGACTAAGAACAAAGCGATCTGCAGTATGCCTCGTTGTCGGATAACCGCGGGTGGCTGTACGATGGCAAGGGTATCGCGGGCGGAACAAAAGATCCATCAAAACAAATGCCTGAAGTACAATCCAGCGAATACAGCTGTCAGAGTAAAACACGTCCTAAATGACAAAGCTCAGCTGCTATGCATAGTTACAGAGAGCGCAACAGTAAGACTTATCAGGTACACGGTAAGTAACGAACCACTAGCACAAACGCCAGAAAACGGCGCTTGATTACAATGGCCCGCGGACCACCTGTTTACAAAAATACAGTCCGGCAAACGTAACGGATGCATAACCAATCTGTGAGCCAATACGGACAGGCAATAGCGATATGATTCAAACAAGCTCCAACACTGACCATATGGAGTGGACGAAGAGGAGACCAGTTGACATCTTGTCTGAAGACTAATTTCATGGGTAAAAGAAATTGCAGATTAGTGACAGCGATACAGTGAAATATGGTCGTTACATCAGCAGAAAACGAGGCCACACTATCAAGAAACATGATAACGCCGGGAGTGTTGACTTCCTTGCCGAACTGAGCAGTTTGGTTGCAGACGTTTCACCTCCAATCGAGGTGGCATCACCAGTGTATAGTGGCAAATGGCTTGTTAGCAGTAGCTGTATTTCAGACAAAGCTGAAGAAGAATGCTGACCGCTACAATACTTACCTGTATAGACAACTCAGGCGTTAGTAACCAAGCTTCATCCGGATTGGCTGTTTGGTGTGGTACTCAAAGGTTCTCGAACGGCTATCACACACCAACCAATGAGAACGGACCGGGAATCCGTGAGTTTCATATCAGATAGACAGTCCGGATGAAACTTGGTTACTGATGCCTGAATTGTCTAAAATATCCAGCACTGTGGCCTGAAGCACAATGATTGCTAACAAGCCATTTGCCACTACGCACGAATCATGACAGGTCGAATGGTAGTGAAACGCCCACAAGCGAATTGCTTAGCTCGGCGAGGAACTAAACACAGCTGCCAAACCCAGCTGCGGATATTCTGCATTGCTGTGAACAATAATACCTATATAATAAGCGTCCAAAGATCAAATAAGCGACGAGCCGACAAGACAGGACTTATCACTTGCTTCCCAAACAAACGCACCAAGGTGTCTAGTAGCATAGTTTCTGCGCTAATGAAGAGTTTCGGCAACAGCTATTGTTTGACGTAAACAGAACTGCAGCACCGTGGTCGCAGTGCAATAACGACAGAAAATTGCCGAAAGATGATGCAAAAATAAAAGCATGAGAACAGAGAGTACGACATGTACTGCTGAAAGCGTAAACAGGACGTACCAAAACAACCGACCCTGCATCGCATTCCTCTTTGCGCATCAAGCTGACGCCATACCAAAACACCAATGCAGCAGAGGAGTAGATTGAAAAACTGATGAAACCGCCAGCTGCGAAAAGTCGAAAATTAGATGAAAACAAACATACAGATACAGGAAGCTTAAGGAGAGAAAATGGGCAAGTGTAAATAAAAATCTTGAAAAGCGAATGGTAAATACACTCGCAAGCGAAGTACAATATTTTGTGAAGCTAAAAGGATTACTGGAATAAGGTGGAAACACAGGATCCAATAAAACACTAACGGATAATAAAGCCGCGGAAACGTTCTTGCTAAAACCGAGTCAGGACAACTAATAACTTACGGTCGGGAATGTAAAGTTGATTAACCATGGCCAGCGCGCAGAAATACCATGGAACTAGCTAGTTTAAGATAAGCGGATATAAAAAATGAATAAAAACATCAGAAAATGAGGTAAAATATGTAAAAGGAAGAAGCAAAATAATCACATAGATGGAAGTTAGAAGATGGGGAACAGATGCAACTAACGAGCAACGCCGTGAGTGCACCATTTCCTAAAAGCTCATGATCATCAAGATGGCAATTCCAGAGGTACTCACTCGGGAAGAAGACATTCGGCAATTTCGTATGTTCTCCCGGGAACTCATGGATAGTCCCTGGCAGCAATATCGACAGAATGTGTCCATGTTCGCCCAAAAAAGATGTCGCATTGGCAAACAACACAAAACACGGAGCAAGCAAAGGAATTCATCGCGGCACTACATGAGCTGCTGTTACACCCAAAGATTGGGCCACGTGTAGTACTTCGAAGTTACCCATCGAAAAACCGAACAATCCCATAAATTTTTCACCGACATTATTCACATCTCAGGATGCCCAGCAGAAGAATACAATGTTCACTTATTCATTTGTAAATAATACCGTTATCGAGTTCCGGATTTTGTTCAGCTGATCTCAGTGGAAACGCGCCACGCGAACCATCTAAGCGACTTTTGTCGCTTACAGTGCTCGATAGCTTCCACTGGAAAACAAGTACTCACGGTCGTCCTCCATTTGAAGTGAAGTGAAACGAAGTACCAGTGCTGTTACACGGGTCTACAACTGGGTTTGAATCACAATGGAAAGCACTCGCCTCTTATGCTGCAAGATGGGAACCATATAAAGGGGAGCACAAAGCTGCAAGTCGAACGTTTTCCCTTTGTTGATAACGATGTGGCTTGTATGTTCTTGGACGCAGGTTAGCAGTAAGAGTAGGCGGAGTGTGGGTTCCAGCAGCGCTTTTGCGGCGCTGATGTTAGCGAAATTTAAGAACATTATTCGAAATGGAGCTAGATAATAAAAAACGACTTTTGCAGACCAAAAACGAAGATGGCTGGGCTACGTTTGAAATTAGAAGAAGTTGAGTTACATTAACCGCTTTTGCTTTTTAATCCATTACGAATAGATAATATTGAATGATTGGATCGGCTTGTTGAAATGTGCTGCCTGAAGTGGCTAGTTTTATATATTCTCCCGAAGTTTGCGAGAAGATTGCGGTCCATAGGTAGACATGACCCAGGGTGGCGTTGGCGATTTTTATGGTAATCCGTCATATTATTAGGATTATGAAGCAACTTGAAAATTTCAATGAAGCCCGGGTGGGCGATAGGAGGAAGAAATTGCTCTACTTGGTTTATTACTACAAACGTCGAGCAAAAGAACTCATCAACGAATGTGTACTTTTGCATCCTGAAATGGGCATTATCTGTGATTTATTTGGCCAATACCACGTCGTAGCCAGATTGTTAATTGACAATTTGCTCGCGGCTCTGATGCCCCTGTCTCAGGATGGTAATTCTTTGTCCCGTTTTTGGACGTAATTAGTCGCTGGGAGCTCCTAAGGTCCAAGGGAGGATGTAACAATTATCTGAGACTAGGCCATCGGGCTGTGGGCTTTCGAGATGGCAAAGGATACAGACAATCATTGTGTAACGAGAAACATTATTCCCAGTTGCATGCGGAAAAGACCCCTAGTTCTCTGCAGATCTCTAACATTTTTCATGCGAGCGGTTCCGTGTCCAAGAAAGTATGTCTGTGGTTCCGGTTCTTTTGGTAGGTTCTCTGTGATAGATCCAGATTTATGCCCTACTGGAAAACGGACCTGACATAATTCTTATCCGGGAATACATCCTGTAGTAGATAGGCGTAAAGGTGAATACTGCGTTTCTGAAAGTTCTCGGAAGGCTGAAGGCATTATACATTTCCGGAAGAATTATGATTACCGCCATTCCTCTGTCAATCATGATTGTACCATGGTCAAAGAACTGTGACTGGCAAGTAACGCAGGAGCGCCTTAAAAATAGCTATGCTGTGATTGGTTGATCAGGTTCAATCGTGTCAGAAAGTGAACAACATTGCTCCTGGCTATCCATCGCAGGACTTTACAGACAGCAGAGGTAGGGTTTATAGGGTGATAGCTTGACATTTCATTTCGCGAGCCCCTTTGTGTTTCCACCATATGGTAGAGTGTTTCCACTGAGATGGGTAGGAGCTGGTGTTTAACGATAGAGTGAAGATGTTTAGCTATAATATAGAAATATTTTCACCGCATCTTATGACAACTGGGCGAGTACCATTTGGGCCGGGATATGCCCGGAGCTTTTGCGGATGTGATGGCGTTCTGTACCTCTATTCACGTCACTGGCACATTACAGAGCAGTTCACTCGTTCTTCTCGGGAGTGGGGGTTGGGACATGTGGGTGTCAATGACAAATGAGGAGGCTAAACTGGAATTGTGTGGCACGCCTAAACTGGATACGTCGAATGTTGGTGAGCCATCGTGTAATACCAATGTTTCGATTGCTTGAGGCGGTTTGGGGTTTCTGGTCCTAAGTAGCCATGTCAGTGCCCTTGAATTTTCAGGATTTTTAAGCGCACAAATTTCCTCTGCGACTCTGGCGCTTTGCCACATCACTTATAGCTTCAATATGGCTTAATGTACATATGGTAGCGTAGCGAAAATGTTGGCCCTGTGACTAGAAACCCTAAGTTTCGTCCGTTTTGTTTTCGGCCTATGTCAGTTGTGTATGTTTGTTGCATTGCTTATACGTGCGGCTCATTACCACAGGTGTCAGTACATCAGTACACGCAGCAACGTAGTGGACAAATTCACCGGCAGTCAGTGTCGGGTTGTTGATTCAGAATGTTGGCTCCCAATTCATAGTGCAAGTAAGTTCCTTAAACACATTCCAGTCAATTCAGTGAATATTATGGTTAGGTTGCAACTTGGTACCTGAGTGGCTTAGTTCGTTCAATGTTCACGATACAAAACACCGTGTTGTGGTCGCAGCCCGGTAGTGGACTGTCTATGAGTACGCAGGCGGAAGGGAACCTCAAGGTGGATACCAAATCTAGGGTATTGACATTTCTGGCGGGCCCTCTGACATGTGTGATGTAGCCACTGAAGTGGAGAGTGCACCATTTCGTCTAGTCCCGTTTATAGCGTAGGTCCAGGCAGTAACCAGTTAACTGGTGACGCGTTGAAATCTTCGCATATAAGTTTGCACTTGTATGTATGGCTAGAAACTGTATAGATAGAATCCAATAGCCGCTAGGTTTCATGGCGGGTTGCTCGGTAGATACAACCAACTACAAGATGTTAACAACTGGTAACACGTTTCGCCATCTAAAGTGTGAGACTCGGTGAAACTGTTTACACATTTCGAGATATATACTTACAATGGGCCTTTCAGTCACCAGCAATCATTGTTGTATGCTTAAGAAAGTTCACTTGAAAAGTCACACCTGACCAGGGCTGCAGAAAACCATGTTATGCCTAGTTGATTATATACTCAGAGAACAAAAAACCTATCATCTCGTTTTAACCATTCGTTGTTTTTCCCGACAATCCGAATCTGATTTAAAAAGTGGCAATCAGCATGTTGGTCTTTTGCGAAGGACAGTTGACATTTAGATTCATCCATCTTCTCCCGGGTGCTGAATGCGTACGTACGAATCGAGTCGAATACGCTATTCAGGCTTGCCAGCCATGGCTGTTTACTACCACTTGTTTCGTTCTGACCTTGTACCACTTTATCGGACACCGTACTGCCATGGGTCCAGTTCACACTGACTATGAGCACCGCAACCTTACACAGTGTTCGAATACAGGTGAGGAGTCACAAGTATCCCTTGTGCAGTGTTTTCATTCATATGCTGGGAAGCGGTGCCCATACTTTACTGGTCGTCTCTGACCTTCCCCATTCATCATAAGTGAGCTAGGTGCTAATCAATGCGCTATCGGCCGCGTTCCGTTGCCCGACGAAAGATCACCCCATGCTCATTGCGATCAGGCCGGCATATTTCAGTGGTCAAGTTGTCAACGCGTCCTAATGCTTAACCATCGGCTCTTCAAACACGAACAACCACCACCAAGGATCTGCGATCAGTTAAATAAATATTTATTCTCGACTATGCGAGGCACGCCCATGGAGGCACGATCAAGTAGATGCAACTGTACTGGCATTTTGTGGCAATTGTAACAGCGACAGTAGAAAATTGTGCAAACGTTCATTACTGGAACTGTACTATTGTGAAAATGTAAAAAGAACAATGGGGTCGTCTTGAGATCGGGACTCGTTTGTAATGACATAATCAGTCATACATCAGCCAATAACAGATCAATAATCCCGAATGATCGATCAGAAGATAAATGAAGAGCAAGATCGAGAGTGATGTGATGATATACTGAGTTCGCGTGTACATAACGCAAAAATTAACGGTGAAATCGTAGAAAGAAAACAGACGACAGTATATGCAGAGGTAGAAATGTCAATGTAACGAACGTTTCAAGAATAAGGAGATGTGATGCTTGTTGACTTGTCAGTGTGAAATCATGGGCTGTGACTTTATTCGGTGGCGAGTCATATTCGCCACGTGGCAGTGTTGTTAAACGAACATTTGTGGCTTTTTATAGGGGGAACGCTTGCCAGGCCAAAACCTACTACGTCCTGGAACACTGCCACTGATCCATCGAATGGCAAGTTATAATTGACTATGCTTCTTGTTGAGCATTTATTTGCTCAGTTATTCGCAGTCAAGTTGCGTCCCATT